GAATAATTACATAATAGCGTCTATTCCCATAGATACCATCGAATTATTTTGCACTCGTACATGAAACCGTTAATCATCGTAGAAGGAAATCTTTTCTTCTTATAAATGATCAAAAATTCATATCAAGAAATTCTAGGTTTCTCATAATAATAAATGAACAATAGTGTAATTGACTATTTACAGAGAATTTAATTAACACCGCAATAAACGTGTACATACATACATACATAAGTATACAAATTTGTATTTACTTTTTACAATATTTATTTGAAAAACATTAAGCGTAAGAGTTCGTTTGTTCATCAAATCGGTATAATTGTGAATGCTCATAGTTTCCCACGTTTGTCATTTAACTTAACATCTTTCTGATATAATTAATTCTACTTTAAGATAATACCTAAAATCGTTACGAAAAGTCGACCACCATACCGTGTGTCTACTGGAGAATCGAATAAATGAAGAACAGGCAACAGGATCGTTATTCTTCTCACGGCACTCTTCTTCTTCTTGTTCTTTTTCTTTTTCTTTTTCTTCTTCTTCTTCTTCTTTTTATTCTCTCGTGTTTGACCGTTGCGCGTTTTGCGCACCGTCGTGTGATTTACGCGGTCATTTGTCATCATTACGGCGAGAGAAGTCCAGTACACGCGGTTGCCGCTTCGCGATCTTTTTCAACGCCCACGCTCTCGCACTACTCCTCGTACTTTCCAACTGTCTATTGTTGTTTCTCACGATGCAAGATACGCTGTTGAAACATTTTTTTGAAATTCTCATACAGATCGGATTATTACTTAGAAATGTGTCGTTCAGAACTGAGTACTTGTTCAACCATTAAGTCTATGCTGTTGCAAAATTATAACATTACTAAGTGAAATATCGAAACGAAACTTAGCAATCAGAAACTGAGAAAATGACAAAGTTTTTTCTATTGTATTTTCTTATATTGTTTCCAAAAATTGCAAGAATAATTATAACTCGGACATGATATTAGTTTCTTCTTGTACATTAGTATAACTATATTGTTTCTTATCTTTGTATATTTTATCGATTAATTATTATTTTATTACGCGTAAAAATATGCATTATATAAGAATTAAGAATAATTAAATAATTTTAAATTTCTTTTATCATTGAAAGACCCGTATAAAGTTCGACAAATGTCGTTGCCCACCATGACAACTACAGTGTGTAAATGATAAAATCATTTATACGATATTTTATCTGATTATTTAATACTCTCAGGAAAAAAGAGTTATCTCGAAATCAATAAAATAGATTCTCAAATGCCTGTCCGAGAACGATAAATTCACCTCAATATATCAAAATTTTATGCCTTATCGGGAAATCGCTTGTTTAATAGTATAAAACTTAATAAATTAAATACATTTAATAAAATAATGTATAATCTTTTAACGCATTATTATTATTTTTTTAAAAATATTTACTGAATAACAAATATAATATTATTTTTTAACAAATTTCTAAAAAGAAATATTATACATTAAAGGGTTTTTACGGTCTTATTTTAATTTAGCTGATTTATTAATTCATTAAATAGATACAGGTTGTAAATAAAAAAAAAAAAAAAAAAGAAAAGGAAGAAAAGGAAAAAGAAGAAAAAAGAAAGAAAAAACCCTGTGACTACTACTTGCTTGCCTCTCTGACAGAAGGACGTTCGAAGAAGAAAGATAGGAAGAGAATCGTAAATCTAATAGATTCTCCTTTCTTGTCTGCGAACGTAAGTCGGTGTTCATCGAGATTGCACGAGTAAAGCTGGGAGGTCCGGAGGTCTCAAAGTACGTTAGTTCATGAAACAACGTTATTCCTGAGGATGCTTACAAGCCCGTCGTGGCCTTTACCGAGATTATTTGCGGCAGTAAGATCGTTAAATTCTCGGACGTGTCCAAGCGTCGCTTCTAAATTCAATTAAGTCCCTACGTGATCGAAGAAACAAATGAGGAGATGACTTTACCCTAACGGCGAACCCTGTGGCGACGTTTATAGTGCGGCTTTCTTTTATCCGACGCTCTTTATATTCCAAGAACGGCATTTCGGGTTTAAGGCGGACGGTTATCATATAAGAAGAAGAGAAATCACAGGATATCCTCGAACTGACCCTTCTTTATGAAAAAATTTTTTTACTTTCGAACGGAATTCTAAAATTCTACGATAGAATACAAATTTTTTTCTGGGTATTTTTTTTCTTCTCTCTCTCTCTCTCTCTCTCTCTCTCTCTCTCTTTATCTCTCAAGAGTTTGAAATTTCATTGAGAAATTTAGAAAGGTTAGATTTTGATAAACGTTAAACCGTTCACCCTATCGAAGGAAAAACCGATCACGTTTTCTATCGATTTCTATTCTATTTTCAACACGCCTCGCAATAGATATCGCGAGGCTTACCAATAGCATAGAATTCCTCTTGAGGCTCATTGTATTTCAGTACGTTCGATGGACTAACAATAGGAAGAGAAGAAAGAAAATGATACTCCCGTCAATACGAAGTC